ATTCACTGCCAACAATAATCAACCATGTACATGTATACCTTGTTTACAAGATGATTATTATTGTTATTAAAGGCTCTGAGTCCGCTAGACATTGGCGTAGCAACAGGAGAACATGCACAGAATAGAGTTATATTCAAACAACTACTCCAAGCCAAAGCCGTCAAGTTCTGTCAGATTGATAGTTGTAGACTTGGTAGTGTCAATGAAAATCTAGCTGTCATTATGATGGCAAAGAAATTTGGGGGTAGGTTGTCATGGTTACAGTGTCTTGCATCATACTTTTTCTGTAATCTCACATAAGCCTATAATCCTACTTAAACCTAATCTCACATAGCCTTATAATCTTACATCACCTAATTCTCATATAAACATATAATCCTGCATAAGCCTATAATCTCACATAAGCCAAATCTCACTTGAGCTTATACTCTAACGTGCATATCCTACATCCTCTCTAATCCCACAACTTAATCCATGTCTTAACTTAATCCATCCCTTAACCTTAACTCCACATAAGCATACCTTACATAAGCTTATAATCCAAGTTCATAAGCTTAAAACTCATATAAGCATAAGCCACATCATAAGCTGCATAAACTAAATCATAGGTATGCCTATAATCCTGCATATTCATTAAATCCCATATAAACATATAATTTTACATAATCCTGCATGAAGCTATAATTTAATATTAATAATAATAATTAATATTTACATACATTTTGTTATTCATTATTATAACAGCGTCATTTAATGTACTTTTAAGTCAACATCCTAATAAGAATACAATAACAATAAAGTTTTTATTATTACATGTGTAGTACCTGTATGCCCACATGCTGGAGGTGTTGGTCTGTGTGAACTGGTTCAGCATATTAGTTTATTTGACTATATATGTGTATCTGCTTCATTGGAAAACAGGTATGTGTGTTATAACTTCATAGATTTAACAGTTGGTTTGTGTATTATGAAAAACTTGAAACATCTTGGCCAAGTTCTGGTGGTGGGTATTAATAATTAACGAACGAAATGCGACTTAATTCATTGAAATGTACAGGCTACAGTGATATATGATAAATTGTTGATAATGAAATGTAATAAAACTATATCCTTGCTTTGGCTATTTATTTTTAAACTGCAGTTTTTATCCAATCTGATCTAATCATGTGCCTTTCGTTCAGCAAGTACAGACAATCTTTCTCATTTTAATTAAATTACATTTCTTTTCTATTTTTAAGGGTTATTGAATATGTAGACCATTTACATGAGCATTTCAAGTATCCAGTGTGTATAAAGAATGCATGCTATATGCCCCCTCAGGTATGTAATCTTTAATATTTTAGCTTCTTCAATCACCTTGAGTAGTGAGTAATATTTATTTTAGGTTGTCTGGGTGGTAATTAAGTGTTAACACAATAGTTCCTTCAAATAGTCCCATTGCAGCATAAGTCTTTTGTCGAGGTGGAACAAAGAAATAGTACTTTCAGCCTAGGTGATACAATATAATAGTCTTTTCCAGTCAGCTTAGGTGATACAATATAATAGTCTTTTACAGTCAGCTTAGCTGGTACAACATAATAGTCTTTTCCAGTCAGACTAGGTGATACAATATAATAGTCTTTTCCAGTCAGACTAGGTGGTACAACATAATAGTCTTTTCCAGTCAGACTAGGTGGTACAACATAATAGTCT